TCTATAATTTTGCCAGCCCATAAAAAATGACCTAAAAAATAATAGTCACAACCTCGCCATGACCGTTACTCGTTTTTTAGCATTTTAGAACCATAAAACTGAAATTTCGCCCAATTTTCAGATTTTTATGTGTTATATCCTACGCCTCCTACATGTACACACGAAAAAGTAAATTTAGTCATAAATTTATGTTGCGTGACCACAAAACGCTATAAAATAAACTTGAAATATATGGCAATGCAATGAGTATTGGTCACTAGGCCATTTTCTATGGACCTAAAAAAATTCAGACTAATCGAAGTCCGTCAAAAAAAATTCTACAAACCAGTATGTAGTAATATACACGAAAAAGTGGATATAATCTCAAATTCGTACGCATGACCTTGAAAACTTTAACAGAGCCTCCATACATAAATGAACTAAATATAAGACGAGTTCTGTTGGTTCAACTGAATCCATTATTTTATATATATATAACCTCCATACATAAACGAACTTAATATAAGACGAGTTATGTTGGTTCAACTGACTCCATTACTTTATATATATATATAACCTCCATACATAAACGAACTTACTATAAGATGAATTATGTTGGTTCAACTGAATCCATTACTTTATATATATATGTATATAACCTCCATACATAAACAACTTAATATAAGACGAGTTTTGTTGGTTCAACTGAATCCATTACTTTATATATATATATATATATATATATATATATATAAGTGGAGAATTATTTAACATTTAATAGGAGGTTACTTTGTAAAGATGAAGATCAAAGGGTTGCCAACTTTGTCTTTATTCAATTAAATATTTTCTTTTTTAATTATGTATATTTACATATTAGTACAAAATTATATTTGAAATAATAATATGTTAAAGGGTATTATAGTCATTCAACTTTATAAGGTTATTTCGGTCTTTTAAGCTTTAGCTTAGGTCTTCATATTTATAATATATATATATACCTTTTTCGTGCACATGATTTTTGGAAGCACCGGGTAAAAAACTAAAATGGTAGGGGTAAAGGTCCAACTTTCTGCCTGCTTGTTATGTCAACTTCATATTTATCATTTGCTTATATATTAATTAAAGTGGACAAAAGCTAAAAGCAACCATTTATCATGACCTTATACTTTACCTCGTTTGCCCTAGTATATACTGACCGGTTTAATTAAATTCATAATTTTTGATGAGGAGTAAAATTTTATATGTAAAAATTGGTTAAAATTGTAAAAATAGTATATATGAACTCATAACTTTAAAAATATAATAGATTCAATTTTAAAATCTTAAAAGTTGAACTCATAGAATTTAAATTATGAATCCGCCTCGAATTTTGCCGATAACTCACGTGAGGCTGCAAATGTCTGTTACAATTTTGTCTATTGCGAAGGAAATTCATGAGAGTAACTTTTACCCTTTTTTTCCCTACTTGATTTGTGTATGTCCTGAATTTTCTTGTGTCAGATTTTTCTGTCTTTCTTGCATGAGTCATATACTGTCAATTGTCATGCATGAAATTTGCTGCATAAATGAGCAACAAAATCATTATGTCCGTTTGCTAAGTCATTAATACCATAAAAATAGACGAAACTAGAATTTTAAGTTTATGAGTTCGGAGTTCTAGTCGTTTTAAGCTATTAGGTTCTATAAATTAATAATTTATATATATTTAATAAATTTTTTAAGACAAATACAGAATTCGAACCAAAGTTACTGGGTTCGGCCGAACCCACTCGGACCCTATAGCTCCGCCCCTGACCATAAAACCATTTACCTCCAAAATTAAGGGTTATCAACCATTTGGATTAAAGATTTGCTCAAAAAAGTACTTTGAGTTATATAAGCTGACAATAGCAATAGTGTATTTAATATCGGTATAGCTTAACCCGGGGCGGATGTATAGTTAGTTAGGGACGGGTTCAACTGAACCCATAAGTTTCGAAGCGAAGTAAAATTTTATGTGTAAAAATTTATTAAAATTACAAAAATAGTAGATATAAATCCATAACTTTTAAAATATAATGGGTTCAATAGTAAAACTTTAAAAGTTGAATCCATAAAGTTTAAATCTTGAATTTGCCTCTGGCTTAACCTATAATAATGTATTTACTTACCAACAGTGGCGGATCTACATACTGTTTTTGGGTGCTCAAGCACCCATTATCTTTGACAAAATTTAGTAAATTTGTATAGGTAATTATAAAAATATTTATAAATATTGAGTAAGCACCCATAATTTAACTATTTTTTCCTCTTTTTTCAGAATTTTTATCAGTGAGCACCCACGACTTTAAAATCCTTGATCCGCCACTGCTTACCAGGTTACTAATGACCATAATATGTTATATGTGATTACCTTATTAATGACATAATTACCTTATATGTTACCAATAATCTAGAATGTGGCTGGATATTTTTAAATTTATATAGTTATATTTGTAATTGTGATTAGTTAATACCAATGTTGTGTAAACGATGAACTTGAGTAATTCATGTTAGCCAACTTGTATTAACTTTTTGAGGTCTTAATAATAAGTTACTAATTACTTATATTTATTTTTGAGATTTTTAACATCAAACTAAAAAGTAGCTTTCTAATAATTCAGATAGAAAAGATAGTCACTTATAACATATTTATCACATAAGTGAATTAAAAAGAAAAAATAAAGAAAATACAGATGAATTTTTTTTCCAAAAAGAATATAATCAAGACAAATTCTCTAAATGACAAACTTAAAACAATTGTCTGAAAATCAAATCCGATTCATCAATTAAAAATAAAATGGCAAAAACAAAACATAACAAAACCAAACGCATCTGAAAGTGACTAAGTGACAATCATCAATCTTTACATACTAACGAGGACAACCCGGTGCACAAAGCATTTCGCGTTCATGCAAGGTCCGGGAAAGGGCAACATCCTAATAGGGTGTGATGTAGGCAGCCTACCCTGATGCGAGCATCAGTGGCTGATTCCACAGCTCAAACCCGTAACTTTTATCATTTAAATTACTTGCAAAAGTTATTGCAGCCCAGTTGTTAGGCACACGGGGTAGAGTCATTCTTTCACGCTGGAATCTATCAACAAAGTCTTTGAGCAACTCTGAATCTCCTTGTTTGATTTTGAAATATCTTCCATTCTTTTCTCAACCTTTTGTGCTCCCGAATGTGCTTTAATAAAAGAATCTGCAAGCTCAGCAAAAGAATTTATAGAATTTTCAGATAAAAGAGAATACCAGGTTAATGCACCCTTGGTGAGTGTTTCTCCAAATTTCTTGACCAGTACTGATTCAATTTCTTGTTTGGTCAAGTCGTTGCCTTTTACACCTGTTGTAAATGCAGTCACGTGGTCACGTGGGTCTGTAGTACCATCATATTTCGGGATGTCAGGCATTTTGAACTTTTTCGGAATTGGAAGGGCAGTAGCACTTGGCTTCCAAGGTTGTTGTGAGTATTTGTCCATGTCTACTCCTTTTATTACAGGCGGAACTCCAGGGATTTGCTCAATACGTTCATTTTGTTCCTTAATCTGTTTCTGCAAGGTTAGTACTAAATTTTGCAAATAGTAATTATTTGAATTACCTGGTCCCCCTTCCTGTGGTTCACTGGTGGTTCCTCCATTTCCAGAATTAACAAGACCAGAACGGGGATTCTCCAATGTATTATTATTAGGAGTTGGTGTGGGTGGTGCAGCAGGCAATCGACTAACTAGAGCCTGAAGAGCTTTGCCGACCTGTGCATCACTTAGCTTTTGTAAAGTTTCATTTGTACCACCTTCAAAGTGTTCAGATTGTTCTTGTTGATCAGCACGAGATTCAGGAGTGCCTTCACGAGATTGACGTGGTGAATTTTGAGGGGAGGGAACCACTTCAATGTTATGTAAATCTCCTTGATTTTGATGGATTTGATTTTCAGGGTTTCCCAAAGTGTTTTCATTGTTATTGTTGGTGTTGTTGTTTGACATGGTGATAACAATGGACAAGATGTAGCTTAAAAGGAAAGATTATCAGATTCCTGATAACGGAACCAATTTGTTTAACCAAAAATCTGAGTCTTTGGTCAAAGCTAGAAAGAAATTCGGGTTACTGATAATCAGGAGACGAAAATAAAATATTTTTGAGAATGATGGTAAAGCAGTAAATAGTTTTGTATTTCAGTAAGATCTCAATAGTATTTCGTGTCCTTACAGATGTTGAGTCTTTCCCCTTTTATAGTTGATTCTAGGAGAAGATATAATGTCTTTATCTTAATGAGGCAATTATGAGCAATAAATGATATTTAAAAGAAGCGTTACACAATCATTTCTATTTAATTCAGATTCTCTAACGTATTTGATATTTAATGTTGTATTTAGACTCTTTTACGTCATCAGATTCGTGTCTTCAACTTGTTCTGATCTTTGATCTTTAAACGACTCGAATAGGTACGAGACTCGTACCGATTTTAGTAACGGTCCACACCTATGTTGCTTTCTTTTCCCTCTATCTGTTGTCGCCCGTGCCTCTTGGCTATTTATTGCGTTTTGACCTTTTGATCAGTCCACGTGTCATGACACGTCATCTTCAATATTCAGACTCAGTTTTTTCCCAATACAAATATGTTTTATGTGATTACCTTATTAATGACATAATTACCTTATATGTTACCAATGATCTAGAATGTGGCTGGATATTTTAAAATTTGTAATTGTGATTAGTTAATACCAGTGTTGTGTAAACGATGAACTTGAGTAATTCATGTTAGCCAACTTGTATTAACTTTTTGAAAGGTCTTAATAAGTTACTAATTACTTATATTTATTTTTGAGATTTTTAACATCAAACTGAAAAGTAGCTTTCTAATAATTCAGATAGAAAAGATAGTCACTTATAACATATTTATCACATAAGTGAATTAAAAAGAAAAAATAAAGAAAATACAGATGATTTTTTTTTCCAAAAAGAATATAATCAAGACAAATTCTCTCAATGACAAACTTAAAACAATTGTCTGAAAATCAAATCCGATTCACCAATTAAAAATAAAATGGCAAAAACAAAACATAACAAAACCAAACGCATCTGAAGGTGACTAAGTGACAATTATCAATCTTTACATACTAACGAGAGCAGCTCGGTGCACAAAGCATTTCGCGTTCATGCAGGGTCCGGAAAAGGGCAACATCCTAATGGGGTGTGATGTAGGCAGCCTACCCTAATGCGAGCATCAGTGGCTGATTCCACCGCTCAAACCCGTAACTTATAGATTACACGGAGATAAATTGACCGTTACTCCAAGGCTCACCTTCCATCTTTTACATACTAAACATATATATAAATATTTGGATTTGATATAAACACATAATCAATACTATTAGACAAAAGGGCCATTGCCAACCACTTTCTTCTTTCATTATTATTAATAAGCAATAATTTTCTTTTGGATTGTTGTATCATCCATTGTTTACTCTTCTTGTTTTGGGCCTGTAGGCCCACTAATCTGACCCGAAGGCCCATTAGTCTGACCCGAAGGCTTGTAATATCCAGTGACCGGGTCTGGTACCCATGATGATGACTCTGAAGTTGCCCTCTCTTCCTCTTGTTTTCCTTTACTCTTTAAAGTCCTTTTTGTAGACTCTGTTTCTGCTTGTGATACTGCTGCACCATACCCTCTCCTACAAAAAACAAGATTTCTCAACAATATATTTTTACTAATTTCAAAGCAGCATTAGATATATAAGGATAATCCGATACACTAAGCTCCCGTTATACGTGGGATCCGGAGAAGGGCCGCACCACAAGAGTCTATCGTACACAACCTTACCCTGCATTTCTGCAAGAGGCTGTTAAAGTAGCATTCAAGGGCGGAGCCATAGTATTAGTTGCCGGTTCGGCCGAACCTAGTGGATTTTGTTCAAACCCTGTATTTGTATTGAGAAATCCAATGAATATGTATAAATTATTAATTTAGAACCTAGTAACTTAAAAGGATTATAATCCCGAACCCATAAGGTTCAAATTATAGCTCTGTCTCTGGTAGCATTAGATATTGCAGATTTAAAATTCTAAATTTTGCCCCAACATAAATATAGAATTAAACTTATATATACTGACATTATAGGCGAATGCAACATATCAGTACCAGGCAGTGGCGGAGGTCGGATCTTCACGAAGGGGGTTCAAAAAAAATTGTATCTTGTGGGAATTGAACTCATAACCTTATGTAGATTTTGAACCCCCTTGACCACTAAACTATACTTTTTGATTGCGTTAAGGGGGTTCAAAACTTAATATATAGAGGTAAAAAACAGATTTTGCCTTATATATACAGTGTATTTTTTCGGCGAAGGGGGTTCGCCCCCCTAAATCCGCCCCTGGTACCAGGTACTTTCGACGCATAGCATAAATTTATGTGTAATTTGTAAGAATTCACTATAATTGCAACAAATAGTAAAGACGAATTCATAGCTTTAAAAATACAATGAGTTCAATGTTAAAAGTCTTAAAGATTGAACTCATAAAGTTTAAATCCTGAATTCGCCTCTCGATAACATTACACTTTTACTGGTTGTGATAAGTTATTTACTATCTTTAGGTGTTAGCAATCATAGAAATTTACATATAATTAACTTTCAAGTGACTTGATAGTGTGAAAAATTATCATATAGAGTTGAAAATTCATATATCTCTAAAATAATAGTGTGATACTCCCAATTTATGTGACACTTATGTGGCTTCTTGAGAATCAATTTTACTTATCTTTGTAGCTAAATTGGATTAGATGAACTCCATATTGTAAAATTAAAATATAAACGTTCAAAAATTATACGAAAAGTACTATAAGCTATAATTCTTCACATATCAATACGATTAAAAATATATCTTAATATTGAGCAAAGTTCATATAATTTGAATCTTGAAAAGCGAAAAGAGCTACGTAAATTGGAATAGAGAAAATATGAATAAGTACTCGAAGATCGAACTCACCTGGTAATGAGACAAAAGGAAAGCCTAGTTTTGGAGAGTATTCCTGTCATATTTCCAGCCATTTTGATTAAAAGTAAATTTCAAAACTTGTTAATACTAATAAAAGTATTGGTGAAATATTTCGAGTTTTAGAGAAACACAAGCCAAAAGTTGCTTTATATAAGAAATGAATAGTCAAAAAGTGGAAATATTGGTGAAGCCGTGTAGGGCAATTTTATGATTGAGTCCACTTGGTCATCCTTGAACAAGAACCATCCACGTTGCAATATTCTATAGAAGCATTATACTTTAATTCCTAATATGGTAATAGAATAATATGAAGAAACTTCCTAGAGGAAGACGTGTAAGAAAAGCCAAAAAAAGAAGAGCGTTTTGGTAATTTGAAAAGAACGTGAAATTATAGTTAAATCTTGGCTCCATAATATATTGGAGTTCCAGTATAATATATTGATCTAGTATAATATGTTGAAAGTTCATACACATAGTGCTCCAATCTCCAGTATATTATGCTGGAACTTTCCACGTGTTGGAGTTCCAGCATAATATGCTGGAAATTCATATACAGGTGCGCCGATCTCCAATATTATGCTGGACCGATCCATGTTGCAGCAAAATAGTGACTATTTTTCAATAACCTTGCAAACGCTACTATTTTTTTAACTTGGCTCGTGCTATTAATGTATTGAAAGGTTACCGCCTTTGGCCTTTCTTGTAATCACGACGTACTTGTGCCCAGTGGCGGAGGCAGGATTTTCACGAAGGGGGTTCAAAAAAAAAATTGTAGCTAGTGAGAATTGAACTTATGACCTTATGTAATTTTGAGCCCCCTTGACCACTAAACTACACTTTTGGATTGTGTTAAGGGGGTTCAGAACTTAATATATAAAGGTAAAAAACAGATTTTACCTTAGGTGAAGGAGGTTCAGGTGAACCCCTTGCGCCCCCTAAATCCTACTAACGTGTACCCCGCATATGATGTATAAAAGTTGTTGAAAGCATACAATAAATAAATGTCCTATTATAATACTTTAAATTTTTTAAATAAGGTGATCACACAATTTAATACTCATATAATAGTAAAGCAGATAAAATTATAAGTTCAAGTCATACCATCACTCGTTAACAAAATATTTCTACATGTTTCGTCCAACAAAAAAAAATTATATCGCACGTGAGGAAGATATGCTACAATTACAAATATAAGATAAATATATAAATATCTACATGTTTCCAAAAAAAAAAAAAATTATATCGCACATGAGGAAGATATGCAACAAATATAAGATAAATATATAAATAAAGTACGTCATCTCTCGTAGTTTAAACATTTTGAATGAAGAATAGCAATAGAAATTCCCAAAGATAATTGTAGTAATGGTTCAAACATGTGCCGCAAGCTTAATTTTTTCGACGAACTCAAAAGAATATCCACCTTAATAACTAATGAATTACAAGGTACAACC